TTGCTTTTCATTGCATTTTATCTTTGCAATAAATATTCATTTATACTTCAATTGAAACTGGAAGATTTTCAAGATATCAATGCCTGAGGAATTTTTTCATCTCAAAGTAGAGATAAAAAGTTGCCTTTATTTAAATCTATGTGTTTAAATATTAACAATAAACTAAAATGCTCTGCAGTGTGCCTGTTGTATGACCAATGACAGAATGTACATTTTTTTACATCTCTGAATTTGAGCTGTCTGTGATTAGTATATTAATGTCCCATTGCTATTATAACAATTACTATGAGCTTGATGGTTTAAAATTACACATTTATTCTTACAATTTTGCAAGACAGAGATCTGAAATCAACTTCACTGTCAGATATCAAAAAGGTGAGCGGATCTGTTCCCTCCAGAGATGCTACCGTTCACTTCCTTACCCTCCCCAACTTTTTCATTCTTGGCACGTGGCCCGCTCCGCCAGCTTCATCTCAGTAGCCACACTGCCTTTTGTTTTTGTCTTTGAGTCTCCTTTGTGTCCTCTTATAAAAATATTTATAACTGTATACAGAGCCCACCCTGAAAATTCAGGAAAATTATCTCAAGATACTTCATATCACTTAAGCAAACTTTCTTTTGTCATATAACATTCAGTTTCCATTTCAGTTTTTTAAAGGGGATTTTCTTAGAATAGAACAACTATATAAATATAATCAAGGAAACTGCACCATTTTTATCATGCATAAATTCCTTGTACCAGTAAAGGCAGTGAAGCACAATTTCAGCAGTTAGAAGCAAAGGAAAATCTAAAGCCATCCACTTTCCTTGCTTTTAATTACTCACTTTTAGTTACAATAAAAAGCACTCCATTTGGCGGGTACCCAAATGAGTATTATATGCTTAGTCTCTCGTTGTCTTTGCTGTCAGTGAAACCTCTGTCATGCATATTATGATGATAGTGGTTTCCTAGGTAATGTTTTATAAACATGAAACTTTCGTCAGAAACACTGCATGCCTCATATGTGACCCAATGACATGAGAAGGATGAAAACTCCACCCTCCCATCATGCTAAGGCTGCCATTTCTGAATGTGGATAGTACAAACAGGCGTGGAGATTGATTAGATGTGTGCAGACCACTGATTACTTCACCTCCAGTCACCTTTCCACACATCTCAAATCAACCAGCTGCTTTATCCCATAAATATCCCTAAACCATATATCCAGAAGGCAGATTGGAGACTTGGGTCTCCCCTTCCAGCCTCAGTTGCCTTGAAAAGAAACTCTTCTTGTTTACAAAACTTACTGCCTCAGTGACTGGCATATTGTGCAGCAGGCCAAATGGGTCTGGTTTAGTAACACGTTTAGCTTTCCAAATGCTGAGTTTGGGAACAAAGGGAAATTACAGATTTTAATCAAATACCAGGCAAGAAACACAATTTCTTGCTATCCTTCCTTATACCCAGATTCCAAGGTTATAACTTGCTTTTAATTAATTAGCAGAATATCACAATAGTTTAACAGGATCTTCTTGAAGTAGTTTTCTATTTTTTCACCTAATCATTGGAGATATTTTTCTATTTAAAAGTAATGTTAAAGTTGTTGGCCAGGCACAATGGTACATGCTTGCAGGCCCGGTTCCTTGGGAAGCTGAAAAGGGAGGAATACTCAAGGCCAAGATTCCCTGGCCTCATGTTGAGACTGTCTCAAAAAGCAAATTAATGTTATAACTGAAAAAAAAAAAAAAAGAAAGAAAACTTTAGCAGCAGGGAAGAGGTCGGGAAAAGGAAAGAAGGGAAAGGAAAAAATACGAGACTAGGAAAAAAAAACCCCAAAGTCTTTGTAAATATAGGGAGAGGTGGAGAGGTTGGAGGGAGGCAGGGAATGGGGAAAAAAATTAAGAACCAAGATGTATCACGAAAAGGCACAAATTCCCAATGATGAATGCAATCATACTGTATACCTAAAATGTACCAATAAAGTTAATGAATAAAAAAATAACAAAGCTGTGCATATTTGATTATTTTCTTAAGATAACTTGAACAAGGTTTTCACTATTTCTAGTATTTTGATATCGATTTCCACGTGCTATCACTACATTCTGACAAACCTTATAGGAACACAGCCATTTCTGTGTAGCTGTATATATTTTATTATTGAGATGAAAAGTGTCCCTAGCTGATAAAATTGTCAGCTCATGGCTGCTTATTTTTCACTTGTGGTTTATATTTATCAGAAGGTAATAATTACCTCTCTGGTTATACTGAGGTGGGACGTACTCCCTGGAAAACATCACTTTAGCTAACTTGTCAGAGTACTTTGTGCTCCCTGGATTCCCTTTGTAGAAACATTCTCTTTGTGTGGTGTGGTTATATCAGATTCAAAATGAGGAGAGAGAAGAATGCAGTGCACTTGAAATTACCATTCTGATAATTTAGGGGAGAAAGAAGAAAAGGAAAAGAGCAGACAGAAGTCTCTCTCTAAAAAGTGGTCAGAGTAGACTATCAAGTTCTGGCATTTCATTTCTTGACCTGGGTGATGGCTGTGTTGTTTTTCTGATTTTACAGCTATCCATTGAATTATGCACTTACAACTTTTGCAGTTTTCTCTACATGATGTATTTGACTTCTACGCAGTTTTAATGAAGTTAAAGTAAGTGTTCTTCCTCTGTTGGTTAAACCTGTCATACAATCAAAGTAAACAAACCTGAGTATAATCTTGAGGTTGGCTTCTACGGCTCCCGCGTTCTCATCAAAGCTGTTTTTCTCCTTGTAAAGGGAGGAAGGGTAGAAATAGTCTTTCACCCATGTAACCATTCCCAGGAATATACAGTATTCTAGAAAATAAGGCAACTCTTCCCTCAGAAATTAGAAATCATAGATCTTGTGGTTTCCAGGCAGAAAAAATCTGACCTTCAAATGAGATTAAGGATGAAGAATTACTGGTGTATAAATGATACTTGGTATATATTTGTTGAAATTAAATGAGTAGGTGTGGTAACCCGTCTCCAAAGCTGCTGGTTTTACCTACATTCAGTGAAGCCTGCTTTAAAGAAGCTATTCTTATGTAATTATCCAGAAAATACAAAGATGTGCTCATCCAAAGAATGAGATGACATGCCAAGTATGTTATGAAGCCTAGTGATTTCACTGCCTGGACATCAAATAAGCCAGTGTTTGAATCTCCAAACAAGTGTGAAACTGAGGGCAGAAAAAAGCAGCAAAACACAGCTGCCTGGGCCTGGCTGCAGCACCCCCTGCATATTATGAAACAGCTGTTGTGTAATTGTGCATTTAACTCGAAGCACATTTATGAAAGAGAAAACAATTAGACTCACCAGAAAGAAAAGATGAAAGAGAAAAGAAGAAGTGTTGAAATGACACAGAAAGTTCTATCTGGTCTTCCAGCAGGAGGGTGAGGATAGTCTAGGACTTTGGAATGGAATGGAATCGCCTTAGTATCTAGAGGACTGGCACATGCCAACAAAATCTGGCCTGGCTTCTGGCTTTTTGCAAATAAAATTTTATTGAAAAACATTACAGTCATTAATTTACTTGCTGTTTACAGTTTCATTTAAACAAAGTACAAGAAGTTATAACAGAAATCATATGGTCCAGAAACTTGAAGATATTTATTATCTGTCTCAAAAGAGAAAAAAGAGTATATGTGAATTCCTACCTCACATGAAAGGAAAGTTAAGCTTAAATGCTTGTGAGGGTGAGAATTCACTTGGAGAACCAAAGCAGCTGATTCTTGAACCTGAGATTGTTCTTGCGAGCAGGGGTTTGGGGTAAATAACAGCTTGGGGCTTTGGAAACAGACAGGCCAGAAATGAAATTAAAATTTTGGCCTTGTACGCACGAGGTCTGTGATTGTAAGTAAGCTACTCACCCTCTGTGTATCTACAAAATTGGGATAACAATTGTGGATGGAAAGAAAACTGAGACTCCCACACTTGCTTTGGAAACTCAGCAAATTTTAGTTTCCCTATCTAAATCCCATATTCAGGGGAACTAGAAATTTCACTAAAAAGAAATGTTTGTTAATTCATTAAAATCAGAGCACCAAAAAATTTTTGTCTTGTTCCTATTATAACTTTAGCTATAGCTTCAGTGAAATAAAGCATTGTACTTAGTATGAAAGTAGTTCACTTTCAAATAATCCTTTTTGATAGTTCCCAGTTTGAACATCAAGAACTTGAATTATTTGAGAGTCCTGTTTTAAATTTTTATATGCTTGTCTATAGCAATGATTGATAAAAGCAAACACCTTTCAAAACTCGAGTTTCCTTTAGTTTTAAATGAGTTTTCACAGGTGATATTGTCACGTTGCTGGTTGTGGTGACTCTACCCTATGTCAGTACTCTGAAATCCCTAAAAGCCCTGCTGACTTTACTGTTTCCACATAGAAAAGGAATATAATTTAGAGCTTCTGAAATCACAGTAGCTATAGTCACCAGCACTGAAAATATAACTGAATGATTAGGTTTTAAAAAGCTGGCTTAGGGCAGCACCTAAAAGGCTTTTATTCCCCTCCAGCCCCTGGTTCTCTGGGAGATGACTGTTTTGCTGCTGGCCTTGTCCTGAGACTCCTGGCTAGGGTTCTTTCCTCCCATCTAGTACTGAGAACAAGTGCCCTTTTGGTCTCTCCATTCTCAGATTCTCTGATTCCAAGTCTGTCAGAGAACAGAAAGTTACACAGTAGCACAAAAAGCCAAAAAAATAATAATAATAATAACTGGGTTTAGTGGCCAGAGCACCTGTGCTGCATATCCTTATTACAGGTTTCGGCTTTGTAAATTAATTCATCTGCAAATAGTGCCCTGTCTCCAGATGCAACTTCAGTGTGGGAGTGTTGGTTTCTTAAGGATTTAAGTTTAAAGTCAAAGGCTTCCTGCCCTAGGTGTTACAAACAAGTAGTGTCCTTTCTCTTTTGCTCCGGGTCTGTTCATCCAATCATATCCCAATATGCAAATAAACTTTAGCCAGTGCAGATAAAAAGGAACAAATAAAGCCGAGTGCTGTATCAGAATCAAATTGCTGAGCCTGTCACCTGTGTTCCAGGAGTCGAACCAGAAATGTTGTCCTCCGCAAAGCCAGACTTACCTGTCCCACTGACTGATTTGAAGATTCAATATACTAAGGTTAGTACAACTTGTATGTGCTGCTTTGCCTTGGGTTTCCATAAGGTTACATCTGTTTGAAGCATAAAAGGTCAATCTAACTAACTTTCTATGAAGAGCCCTTTGCAAATATGAAAACAAAGACTTGTTTAAAATGAAGGTCTGAGTTTGGTGTCCTAATCAAATAATAAATTCTAAATCATTTCAGACAAATTTTCATAAATTTCTTAAAATATTTCTACCCGAAAGGACTCTTCTTCTATGCTAAATATTCTTATACCAGCATTTAGTGTACTTTAGTAAGCAGTTTTATTATCTCAGGATAGCCAGCACATATGATGAGTGGGTCAAACACTCATTAGAGGAACTTACTGGATACTGCAAGAAACCAGAGAGAGAGAGAGAGAGAGAGAGAGAGAGAGAGAGAATACTATAATAATGTAACTTTTCTATATGCTTTATAAAATGAGTGTAAAATCAGAGGACTTAACTCTGATAATTAGATGAAAGATGTTTAAGAAAACTTCAAATCAACTTGTATCATTTTGCATATTTTGGTTAAAAAAAATACTTATTTATTTCTGCAGCCAAGTTTGTTGCTGCTGCAGCAAATGTGTAATTGTTAACTGATAAATATTTAGAGAAACAAGGACAGGAGCCAGGCACAGACTTCAAAAGCCACATCTAGGGAGAACTAAGAAATGGGCCAGAGTTGTCCTGGGATTCCTGTCCACTTTGCCTGGTTCACAGTTACATGCCTGCTTTCCTGTTAGACGGTAGGACTGCAAAAAAGAAAGAAAAATCAAGGAAAAGTAACAAATAACATACCAGTCTAACTCAAATCACTTAAGGTTAGATTTATGCTATGACAAAGAAAGGCAGGAGAAAACAAAATCTGTGCAACTCAGAATGAGCCATTTTGCCTTCTGAATTAACCAATTTAAGAGAAAAGCATTAAACCTGCTAACATAAAATTCTCATCTCTTGTTTGCTTATTTCTCACATGCAGCTTGTGTGGTTTTGAAATTCTAAGTTCTGTTGCTTTTGTTGACATAAGCACAGAGCTGAGGAAGCTGCTCAGTGGATTGGGAAAATGTCAGCAGGGATCAAAGTATGCCTTTAATAGGGTAGAATTGCAGCTCTGACGTGTATAAAGATATTATTATGCCAGGATTAGTTGAACAGAAAATCATTTTCCAATGAATTTTACTATAAATCAGAAGATTAAATATGTAAATAATTTTAAACAGTTTACATTTGAAAAAGTTATGTCTAAAACATCACAGGTCCAATCTTCTTGACTTTCTCATCCCAAGTTTGCTGTTTGCAAGCAATTTCAACTTAAAGTAGGTGTATTTAAAAATACATTCCATGATGATCAAAATTGCTAGAAATGTTTTGACTATTCCACTAAAATTATTGGAAGGAATGTATTTTCTGTGATTCTACCTGCATAGATATTTGGGAGTCCAGATGTCTCCTCACACTTTATTTAATTTGGCTTTGCAAAAGGTTTGCAATGTCTTTCTGATTTGGATATCTCAGGGCAGCTATAACATGAAATAATCTCTCTAATGAATTACACTTTATTCAGCAGGTATTAATCAAAAATGTAAATAACAGGACTACACAAATGAGATGTTCTTTACAAGCTAATATACAAGCATAGAATTAAGCATTCCTTAACATAAAAAGGTATTTTTAAGATGATTGAAATCTGCTTACTTTAAAGTCAATGCACAACACCCTTCTGGGGAAAATGACTACCCTAAGTGTTCCAAAGAAGACAAGACTGAAAGAACAGGCACTTGCTCTCTGTTGAAGTACATCTCTGGGTAAACACACACAATGCAATTCAGTGAATTTGGTATCTCATGCATCATTTGTATCAATCTAATCTACTCTGATAGTGTTTTATTGTTTGACTTATGGATTACAATATTTTCATTCTTGGGAGGATGCCAGTTTTGTATGTAATTAAATATAAATGGGTGAAATTTTTCTTTTTTTTTTCTTTTTATTGAGTTTATTGGTACAATCTAGGTATATAATACAGTTACATTTATTATTGGGATCCTGTACCTTTACATAATAGGTCTTGATTCTCATTTTTTCCCATTGTCCCTGCCCTCCCTTCACCCCCTCCTCCCCTCCCCATATGAACTTTTTCAGATGCCTTTGCATTTTCTTCATTCTCTGTCCCACTGATGAATTATACTGGACTGGCACTTGCAATAAGAGTTGGGAAAATGTGGTTATTAACTAGGTTTCCTGTTTGCAAACCGAGTAGACAATGGTTTTATAGTGACTGAGGAATTACCTCCTCTGATAAGCGCCTAAACTTCTGTATTATTTTCTTTATTTTAATGTCCTACATTATTATCTGTAGAAGTATATTGGCTGTTGGGGCAAAGAATAGATAACTGAGAAACAGGGTTTTATACAAAAAAAAAATTACAACTATCTGCATACTCTTAAGCTTCAGACTGTTTTTCTTCCAAACAAAAGAATTCATTGATGCATATCTTTTAATGTCTTATGTTCTAGTACAGTCGGATTATTTCTTTGTTGGGGTAGATGAAACAGATTAGAGTTTAAGAAATATTTTCTAAAATGATGCAAAACCTTTTGGAGCTGAAAAACCTCAGTAACATAAATCCACACGAACTTGGATCCCAGCCCTGTCCACACTATTCCTCTTTCCAATTGTGAACGAGTCTCACATCTGCCAACCCTTCCCTGGTAGTGAGCTTTTAAATGAAGAGCTGCTTTGAAACTTACATGATCACTAGGCAAACTACATTAGCTCTCTCTGCCTCCTTTCCTTACACCTCAAATGGGGATTATCAAAGTCTCTATTTCTTGAGCTTGGTGAAAGTATTAGATGGGTGGGATATAAAGCACTTAAAACAATGCCTAGCACAAGGAAGTGGATGATTAACATTAGCGATCCTAGTCCGAAATATATTCCTGAATCCTATCCAGTTTTTTCAGAATTTCCTTTCACCCAGCTTTTCCTCTACCTGTTTCCCATAACTGCTTTGCCCATCCCACGTTTTTTCCCAGTGTCCCTCTCACTAGTGCACAGTCACGTCTCACCTGACAAAGGTGGCACTGGAGCAGAGTTCTGGGTTTCAGAGCTCAAGAATTTTACCGGGTTTGGGTGAATGTTTTCCATCTTTCTTTCTCAGTACTGCTTTCTACATTAAAAATAAAAATGACAAATAGGAAATTCAACTTAAGAGGACAAGCTTTCTTAGATAAGGTGTAAACCCAAAATGTCTCTTATTATTAAACTTAACTCATTAAGCAGAGTTTGCTAATGCCAGGAAAAAAAAATCTATCAAATAAAGACATTTTTCACACACACAGACTCACAGAAAATAATCAGAGCTAAGATTCATGGGGTTTACTGTGCCAGTGACTGTTTAAATTCTTTGCAATGATTGCACTGATGCCTACAACAGCCCTACGAAGAGGTTACTATTTCCTCCTTACCTATGAGGGAACTGAGGAACAGAGGGTCTAAGTAAGCTGCCTAAAGTTACACAGCTAGTTCATAGCAAAGTTAGACTTTTAATACTGGCAGGCTGATACCTCATACTAACAAGTCACTTGCCTAAGGTCAATATGCTACTTTGGGTTGTGGAATTGCCGGTTTTTTGTTTTTTGTTTTTTTCTGTTTTTTTTCCGATTTTCATTTGCCTACTTGTCATGACCAGATGACGCATGACAGTGAGCCTTTCCAGTTGCTGCTCAGTGGCTTCCAGGCCGACAGGTGAACATTTGTCCCCAGTTTAGAAGAAAGCCCAACAGTAGGGAAAGTTGGAAGGAAGCAGGCTTTCTGCTTTAGATGGAAAGATAGAATCTGGGTCTGGAGAGGCTGTGAGGAAGAGCCGCAAACTTTCTCTATTTCTTCAAGACGTATAGATTGCACTTCCATTATGGTAAGCTATTGCTTTCCCAAATTTTTGGTTTGTTTGACATTTCTGTTTTAAAATGTTTTTCACAAGAAAAAGTTACTCATCATTGAATACTTTGTCCCAGGCACAATTTGAACTGTTTTTTTTTTCTCCATTCTCTATTTTTAAATTTTTAATAGACAAATTCAAGCCACATGCAATTACAAATTTTCTCCCTTCATTCATTCTTTTCCCAATTTTTCCCTTTCCTTTATCTATCAAAGTTGTTTAGTGAGTGCCATGTGCTAGGTATTATGAGACATGAATGCTAATTTGATTTTTGTCAGCCAGAGATTTTATTCCTAGAAGATATGTGTGGCAGAAAAGAAGGCAGTAAGGCAATACTTTAATCACAAACTGTAAGTGCTAAGACAAAGAAAACTGAGAGCTGAGGGAATCCGAAGGGTAGAGCTCACTTCTGATGAAAGTTGTCAGGAAGAATCCTTTTAAGAAAGGGCATTTGAGGTAAGCCTGCGGGTTGCAGAGAATAAAGTGGTCACGTAGAACAGGGAAGAACAAAGATCCAGGGTAACAGAACATACAGGACTCTGCAGACAGTGGCTTGTTGTCTTTGAAGAACTGTCAAAAGGCTAATAAGACCGGGGTAAAGTGAAAGAGGGAAGGCATGTGTGAGAGGCGGGTGGAGAGGCGTGCCGGGGTCAGGTTAGCTCGCGGAGTCTATCTGAGGGAACCACTCCGGGGTGCTTGCAACAGGACAGGACTGATGTTTCCCGCAAAGCTGAGTGTGCTGCAACACCGCTTTCAGTCGAGAGACCTTTTTAAATTTCTGACTGAAGCAACATTTTGTTTGCCTGGGGCTTGGAAGCAGTGGAACAAGTAGCTGAATGTCTGCAGGGGCAGTAGTTTAACGAGATAAAACTGACTTCAATTTCCAGTCCTTCTACATGTTTAATAATATGACCTTGGGCAAGCTTGTAATCTCGTTCAGCATCAGGTCCCCTCCTGTGAACCTGGAATAATAATGACCGCCTTAGACAGTGGCTGTGAGAATTAAATCAAATAAAAATTGTGAGAAGTGCCTAGAACTTGTCCAGGTGG